TTTTCATTTTCTGAATATCTGCCCTACAGCTTATAGTTCTCCCAAACCAGTTCTGTGTGTCACCCTTCCTTTCCTCAGTGTCCAGCTTCACTAGACATCCTGAATTCAGGCATCTTACATCACCATTTGCTTTTTGACAAGTCACAATTATATTTTAATTCACCTGGTCATTGTAAAACATGGAATCACAGACCTAAAAAGTGCATGAAGGACCTCTACACATTATGTGTTCTAATGGCCTTCATTCATGTAGGTGATTTTACAAAAGGTGAGGGTAACAAATTGTTGGAAAAGGAACAAAGGAATGTTTGCCGTCTCCTGATCTTTCCGCATCATACTGGAGACTCAATCCCAATTACTCATAAGCAAAATGGTTACCAGCCCTTAAAAGAGACAGAACAGTTTTGTGAAGTCCAAAGGAAACTAAGATTAAATATATAGAAATATCTATATTCTTAAATGAATTAGTCCTCTCATTAATTTAAAAAGGACTTATTGAATGCTTACTATCAGGGACCAGGAGTACGAAGTTTAATAAAACACAGTTCCTAACTTTGGGTGTCGTGAGGAAGACGAAGTTTAAAAAAACATGAACACAGCAGCACCTGTAGCTCAGTGGGTAGGGCGCCAGCCACATACACCCAGGCTGGTGGGTTCGATCCTGGCCCAGGACAGCTAAACAACAGTGACAACTGCAACAACAAAAAAATACCTGGGGTGTGATGGCAGTCACCTGTAGTCCCAACTACTTGGGAGACTGAGGCAAGAGAATCGCTTAAATCCAAGAGTTTGAGGTGGTTGTGAGCTGTGATGCTCACAGGATGATAATAATAAATAATAATAATAATAAATAAAATAATAAAAAAATAATAATAATAAAACATGAACACTGTAAAGAAGCAAATGCATCTGTCATGGCAACAAAGACATGGGAGATTTTATTCTGCCAACTCCAAGAGAAGTAATTTCTTTTCTGATTCTAAGTACTTTCTTAAAATACTTGCCTCACGGAATGTATTGCCTATCAGATAACACTTAAGGTGAGAGTTGAAAGATGCAAAGGAATTCGCCAATTGAACAAGGAAAGTGTAGGTATTTCAGGCAAAGGAACTAGAAAAAAAAATAATTTTTCTTACTAGTGAAAGCGTTAATAGGAAAACATTTAACAGAGAGTTGTCAACAGAAAAGAAGCCCAGAATAAACTCTGTAAAAGAGGTCTATTCTGGGCGGCGCCTGTGGCTCAAAGCAGTAGGGCACCAGCCCCATATGCCGGAGGTGGTGGGTTCAAACCCAGCCGTAGCCAAAAACTGCAAAAAAAAAAAGAAGTCTATTCTGGGCTGAAGTTGAGGACCTTGGCCCAAAGCCGCACCCAAGAAGCCTTAACACGTGAACTTGCTGTGTTGGGGTTTTATACATTTCAGGGAGACAGACAAGAATTACACAGAAAGTCACAAATCAATACATGAAAGGGATATATTGATTTGGCCCAAAAAGGAGGGACATCTCAAAGAGAGAGGGGTTATAGACAGGTTTGAAGACTCTGATTTGTAATTGGTTAAAGAAATGAAGCTTCATCTAAAAGTGCTTTAAGATAAGGAAGTCTGTTAGAGACAAGACACTGGACATACACCCAGATTCAAGTGATCTGTTACACTGAGGAACTGTGGGTTTGTCTTGCATAGCCTTTGGCCTGTTACAGTTACAAACCATTTCTCCAAGAATGGAGGGGCGCAAGATGAGGCACACTTAACCTCCATTCTCATGGTTAGCAACTCAGTTTTGGGGTATTCCTGAATCAGGCCAAGAGGAGGTCCATTCAGTTGGAGGCAGGGGGAACCTTAATATTTTTAGTTCACAAAGTGAAAGGGAAAACCATTTAGTAGGAACCAGATTACATAGGATAACATATGATGTTATCATGGGTTTTTGCATATGTCCAAACTCATCAGATTGTATTAATTGTATTGATTAAGTATCAATCACACTTCAACAAAGCTGTCTGAAAAAAAAGGAAACAGTCAGTCGTGTCTTCCCAGACATTGCTTGGTACCACCACGAACCCATATGCACATACAGAAAACCTTATTAGTTACTAGGTCTCCACTTGGTAGTTAAGCAGCACCATAGTTACAGGACCTCTTGGGCATAAGAGGATCTTGGGCTCAAGTCCCAGCTCTCCATTTTCTAGCAGTGTGAACACTGACTAGTTATTTCCCCAAGTCTTTTATCCCATGGTAGATAACAGTGGTAGTCTGCACATTTCTTTTTTTCTTTTTTTTTTTTTTTTTTTGAGACAGAGCCTCAAGCTGTCCCCCTGGGTAGAGTGCCAGGGCATTACAGCTCACAGCAACCTCCAACTCCTGGGCTCAAGCGAGTCTCCTGCCTCCGCCTCCCAAGTAGCTGGGACCACAGGTGCCTGCCACAACGCCCAGCTATTTTTTTTTTTTCTTTTTGGTTGCAGCCGTCATTGTTGTTTGGCGGGTCCGGGCTGGGGATTCAAACCCGCCACCTTAGGTGTACGTGGCTGACGCCTTAGCCAGTTGAGCTATAGGCGCCGAGCCAGTCTGCACATTTCAAAGCTGTCATGAGGATAAAATAAACCAAGTGGTCAACAAATGTTATTAAGAGTATGATTATCAATCCAGTAACAGATCTCAACTTTTTTTTTTTTTTGGAGACAGAGTCTTACTTAGTTACCCCTGGTAGAGCCTGTGGCATAATAGCTCACAGCAACCTCAGACTCCTAGGCTCAAGCAATTCTCTTGTATCAGCCTCCCGAGTAGCTGGGACTACAAGTACACCCACAAATGCCCAGCTATTTTTAGAGACACACTTGCTCAGGCTGGTCTCGAACCTGTGAGTTCAGGCAAGCCACCCGCCTCAGCCTCCCAAGTGCTAGGATTACAGGCAAGAGCCACCTCGCCCAGCCAGATCTCAACTTTTTAAAAGTATGGCCTCTTAATACTATAAATAGTAGTTAAGGGAAAAATGTACCACCCCTCGGCCCCCAAATAAGAGGGTCATATATAGCTGGAGAGCAATAACTTCCAATTTCGAACTTCCAAAATACTGACGGGCAGATGTGGAGAAAACCTGTGAAGTTCTCTAGAGGTTGTGAAACAAAAGACAGCAGTTACTGAATACTCACCATATGACACTATGTTAACTGTTTTACAAGTATTCCCATCTAATCCTCATAATCTCCCTTTAATGGGGGCACTTTTATTACCCCCTTTTCAAGTAAGAAAATTGAGTCAAGTGAAGCACATTACAATACAGTTGCAAACAGAATGAGTAAACGTGGAGCTTGTAAGCCGTTATCAAGGGAGAAAAGTGTAACTAAAGCCACATAGAGAAAGGATGGATATGACGGATATTCGGAGAAAAAAAGATAATTAAAAATATGTACAAGTAGGTCGGGTGCAGTGGCTCACGCCTATAAACCCAGCACTCTGGGAGGCCAACACGGGTGGAGTGCCTAAGCAAGAGTTTGAGACCAGCCTGAGCCAGAGCAAGACCTGTCTCTAAAAATAGCTGGGTGTTATGGCAGGCACCTGTAGTCCCAGCTACTTGGGAGGCTAAGGCAAGAGAATCACTTGAGACCAGGAGTTTGAGGTTGCTGTGAGCTGTGATGAAATGGCACTCTACTGAGGGCAACAAAGTGAGACTGTCTCAAAAAAAAAAAAGTTACTTCAACTAGGCACATTTTTGTTTGTGCCACAAACTTCAGATGGAAAATAAAGAGCAGGAATGGCAGCTGACAGCATTATATTTTTTTGGTGATTGTATTGAGAAGTGGAGGATAAATTTCCCATTGTCCAGTATGATCGTGTTGTTTAAATGCAACCCTCTACTAGAATGTGAACACTCAGGGGCCGTTAATAAGTAAACTACCATTTATTACGTTGGTGTTCAATAACATCCAAACTCAGGTTTGCTGGGATTCAAAGCAATACTGTTACCCATTTCATTAGAGAAAGCTCAAGGTTACCAATGAGGCTCTTTTCCTCATTCAGGTGTGAAACATGCAGCCTCAAGACCCCATGTGGCCAGCTTGGTGCCTGTGGCTCACCTAAGGTAGCAGGTTCAAATCCAGCCCAGGCCCGCCAAACAATCGCTGCAACCAAAAAATAGACAGGCATTGTGGTGGGTGCCTGTGATCCCAGCTACTTGGGAGGCTAAGACAGGAGACTTGCTTGAGCCCAGGAGCTGGAGGTTGCTGTGAGCTGTGATGCCACAGCACTCTACCCAGGGGAACAGCTTGAGGCTCTGTCTCAAAAAAAAAAAAAAAAGGACCTCATGTGGCCTTCTGGACTCTGGAGTGGAGCCCTTCGGCAGAATACAAATTTTACAGAACAAGTCCTTCTAATTATGAGATTTGTTCTGTGAAGCTTGAATTTTCAGCAGCTGCTCTTTGTGATCAACAGCGCTACACGTGGCCTTGAAGTAAATTTCCCCACTAATGTGCCATTAGAAGACTGTCAGTGAGGCTTAGCACCCATAGCACAGTGGTTATAGTCGGCCACATTTGCCAAGGCTGGTGGATTCAAACCCAGTCCAGGCCAGCTAAGCAATGACAAATGCAACAGAAAAGTAGCCAGGCGTTGTGGCGGGCACCTATAGTCCCAGCTACTTGGGAGGCTGAGGCAAGGGAATCGCTTAAGCCCAAGAGTTTGAGGTTGCTGTGAGCTGTGACTCCACAGCACTCTACCTAGGACATAGTGAGACTCAAAAAAAAAAAAAAAAAAACTGTCAGTGAGAACACTGTATCAAAGACCAAGATTAGGGTTATGGTTAAGTTTTCAAAAAGAAAAAAGGCACACAACTTGGGATAGAGAAAAGGGCAAGTCAAGGTTTCTATTTCAAATAAACCTAATAGAAACCTAATGCTAGGGTTTCAATACACCCCTCCTCCCAGTTCATGCCAACTTAATCCTCATTGTACGGATATCGAGAAGCAAAACTTTTGAGGAAGTGAGGGATAAACATCTTTGAGTGGATTAATGCTTTATGAAACAGCTGGAGGGAAGACAGGCCCCTTCCACCTGAGAGAAAAGGGATAAAAGCAGTTAACTCAGCATTGGATGAGGACAGACCCTCCCCCTGGAAGACATAGTTACCACCATCTTGGGAGCACAAAAACAGACCCTCAGATGCTAAACCTGCCAGTGCCTTGATCCTCAAGACATCCCAGCCTGCAGAACCACAAAAAATTGTTTTCCTAGGTCTGTGGTAATTTGTTATAGCAGGACAGATGACCCTACACAAATGCCATCACAGTATTGTTCTCTCAGCAGTTTCATGAATGACCAAAGCAATTCTAAGCTAGTACGTAACTCAAGAGAATCGGGTGTTCTCTTGACCCTTAAAATCTAGCTACTGAAATTATGATATAATTATGACATTAGGCTTATTAACTGTGAGATTTTCCACTTCTTTCCCATGATTTTAGAGACCATCTTCAAACCAGTTTAAGTTTTTCATATATATTACCTGGCCATTTCCTAACCAATTGCATATATCCACTGTACAATAAGCTGCCTTATACCTTAGAGCAGCATACAGAGTAAATCTGAATAAAGACATTACACAATGAATTAGGATACATTAAAATTTGGTTTAATATTTCTTTGTGGCAAAAAAAAAA